TATATGTCTGGTACAATCAATTTGGGTCATTATAAATACCTCCTCACCCCAGTTGAAGAGATGATTTTTTCTTCCTTCTAGCCTGATTCTAATCTTAAAAGTCGTCATCTTTCTATAGAAAATCATCGGTCAACAGTCGGTTATCTAACGGTTATAATTTTTTATCCAACTTAAAATGGATGAACTATCAACCGACGAAATAATCTTATTTCCATCGACACTCACAACCTAACATTGTTTGAAGGAACCATTTTAACATCTCGTTTTGTTGGATTAACTAGTAGTAATGTTACTATTATTAAAATTATATATCTGGGCAATGATTAATTATGAAAAGGAGAGAGCAAGTTGACCCTTTAGCATTGGCTATAAATCTGTTCGCTCCACCTTCTTGCCACTCGTGCACTTGTTCAAAATCCCAAGAAAATATTATATTCACTCTCTCATTTGCTGTAATCTTCCATCTTTTGGGTAGTTTCTAAGCCTATCATTCTTTCAACAACAAAGGTCAGATTTCCCAACACAACATTGATTACTGTTATTTACTGAAATGAAACACCGGTTTTGTTTTTTTTAAGTTTAAAATTCTTACAGGTTAATGATGATGAGAGTTTCATTCTCTTTGTGCAAAGAAACGATGTCGTCTTTACTGGACACACCATCCGGATTGCTCAAATCGGACTTCTTTAGTCCTAGGCGACATAAAGAGAAGGTCGTGATCCTAATGGGAGCAACCGGAAGCGGCAAATCGAGACTCTCGATTGATCTCGCCACTCGGTTTCCGGCGGAAGTAATCAATTCGGATAAAATACAAGTCCATGAAGGGCTTGACATCGTCACTAACAAGATGACTGAGGAAGAACAGTGTGGAGTTCCACACCATTTGTTAAGTGTGATAAATCCCAATGCAGATTTTACTGCAACAGATTTCGTCGACATGGCTTCACACGCCATGGATTCGATCGTGTCCCGAGCCAGCTTCCGATCATAGCTGGCGGCTCGAATTCGTTCATCGAGGCCTTGGTTGATGATAAACACTTCCGGTTCCGATCGAAATATGAATGCTGTTTCCTTTGGGTAGACGTAGCAATGCCAGTCCTACATCAGTATGTATCAGAGAGAGTAGATAAGATGGTTGAGAATGGGATGGTTGATGAGGTCAGGAATTTCTTTGATTCCAATGCCAATTACTCAACGGGGATCGGGAAAGCCATCGGAGTCCACGAATTTGACCGGTACTTCCGAGGCGAACCGTTTCTGGACAAACAAGGCCGTGCTAAACTGCTGCAAGAAGCAATCCAAGAAATCAAAACAAACACATGCAGATTAGCTTGTCGACAATGGGAGAAAATTAACCGGTTGAGGAACCAGAAGAATTGGAAGATACACCAGCTCGACGCGACCGAAGCATTTCGCAGGCGCGGCGAAGAATCCGATGAGGCATGGGAAGAGCTTGTAGCGGGTCCAAGTACAGAGATGGTAGCACAGTTTCTATATGATATAAGCTCTAGGGCACTACTCACTAGCCCTGCAGGTGCCATTAGAGTCCCTTGTGGTATAATGCTGTAAAATCTTATCCGACACAGGAATAACTAGTGAAGCCGTACATTTCAATGTTGAAAATCTTAAAATAATGGAGATTTGCTGCTTGTTGAGTAACGAGGCTAATTAACTCACGAAATAAACAAACAGTAAAAGATATAAACAACATAATATTTAACGAGGTTCGACAATTTACTTATATAATTGGAAACGATAAAAGGCTGTTTTCTTATTATTAAGAATAATCCAAAATTATGTTATAATTACATAATATAAGAGTAACGCCGCTCCAAAATCTGTCCCTCATCTGGTATATAATTCCTATCTAACACTACTTAATGGAAGTCGCTTTCTGGAGAAAGAGATAGATTTCATGGCCCCTTCCATTTAATGATATGAAAGCATTTTTTGTTTTTACTTTTTGGCGTCTCATCAGTTGAAATACCATTTTCTTCATATACGTACAAATTACTTGTATTTCATTGTTGGCAGATCAGGAAATACATTTCTTTCTTTCAAAGCAAACCATTGAAACAATTTGGGATCACAGGCAGCAGAATGAAAGTGAGATTCATCTACCTGATCAGTGGCCGTACAGTTGGAACGCACTGAAATCCAGGTGTTGACTTGCTTGTAAGTTTTCGGGTGGGAGAAGTTGGTGCTGTTGGAAGTACACGCCTGCCTGCCTGCCGGCCGGCTCATGCATGCACCCATGGCTAGCTTAGCTAGGCCACTAGTTCTGTATTTTTATGGCACATCAAGGCCAGCGAGACTGTCGCATGCCAAGGTAGAAAGACTCATGCTAATAAATAACACAAGTATACTTCGAGTGACATCTTGTTATGATATTTATGTGGGTGTTTACTATTTATTAATAATGTATATACACAGACAATACATGATTTTATGTATGGTTGGATTTATAAAATTTTAGAGTATGATCAACTTATAAAATTATAGAAGATAGATGAAAATAAATTATTAATAAAAATATAAACAAAAAATTTATAATATATAAGAAATTAAAATTTTAATCTTTAATTTTATCTATATATACACGCCATATACGTGTAGGCGCTCAAAATCATATAGATCACTTAATGAATTTAAAGTTTATCATATTTTTAAATAAATAAGTTTTAGAATTTTATTCTTTAAAAGATATTTTAACATTTGTATCTCAAAATCGATCGTGAATCCATAACCGACATCATAGCTAGTTGCTGCTCCGGATTCTCTCACGGCCATATTTGTCAAAAGAGGAAAAGACTGAAGTTTTTATATTAATTAACAAAAAGTTTGCAACATAACCACTGTATTGATACTGATATTCGCCACTAACTGAGTAATTTTTGCTAATTTACATATACAATATTAAGAAATTATATCATCAGTCACTAAATTCTAGATTTTGTATAGGATTCAGTACTAAACTTTGAAACGTTTCATTATCATCGAATTTTAATTTATGTTTCAATTAAGACATTGGAATGTTAAATTCGAAACCGTACGATAATGTGGTAGTTTGGTGCAGATGAGGAAGCCAAAAATAATATATATATTTTTATTTTATCTCATCATCATCTTCATCAAAATTAGAGTTTTTACTCATTTTTAATTGTAGTTAGAATTCGTCGTTTTTCAGTATCATCTTAGATATCGATGAACTTATCTCATCGTCCTACATCACTTTATTAGTTTGACTTTTTAATACCTCTTTTTTAACTGACAAAATTAAAAAAAACTACTATTTTTTTTGGTGTTGAGATTCTTTTTTTTTGAATTTGAGGGGTTTAGGGATTTTGTTCAAAAATTTGAATAGTGAGAAGCATTCTTTCAAAAAAAATGAATAACATACTTAAAAATTATCCTCGTTAACAATTTAACAATCTAATATCCTAATTGAATCACAAACTAAAATTTAATATTAAAATTCAAACGTTTTAAAGTTTAATGCTAATATCGATACACAACCTAAAATTTAATGACAAAAGATGTAGATTATCCTAATAATTTTTTTTATATATAATATTACTTAGATATGGTCAATGTCAGTACAAAGAATTAATGTAATAAATTCTTCAAAAACGCAGTGCCTTTTATCTTCGATTATATTACTCAAAAATAATTTATTTTTTATTAGGAGATTCTAAATGTAGTACATGAAACAAAAGGGATCATTTGAATGTTATTTGAGGCTTGACCCCCTTCTTTTTACTTCTTAATATACCCTACTCTTACAAATAAACAGGTCACTGATCCACCAGTCCTCACACTCATATATAATATATAGTTTTGATATCCCGGCACAAATAAAAAAAGTGCAGTTGGACCCACAAATGAACAAGAAAACGAAGGAAGAAGTCAACAATTTTCTTGGGTATTTACTTTCTCTTTTTCCCTTCCATCTCCTCACTTCTTAGTTAATTTAGGGTTTGTCTTTTATGAGAGAATCAATGGTGCCTTCTAACTTCTTTTAGTGAGCAAAAGTATGCATTGAAAACCTTGATAAAATGCAATTTTTATTATTGAAATTCGAAGACAAGTTTTAAATACCATGCGCATTGTTCTTCTAAGATTCAAATTCAAACAGTTGTATGTGTATGTTATCAATAAATTAAGAAAGATTTAAATAAATGTAACTCTTACGAAAATGTTTATTTTTTTATGTCGAAATATGTGTCTAACATGTATATCGAATATTACAAAATACGATTGCATATCTTGGTGTAAGTGAAAAAAAAATTCACAACTAGTTGAGCTTTGACATGAAAATACATACAAGTGTATATAATATATTCAACATAGATTCTTTAACCCCAAAGGAAAAGGGAAAAAGGATGGCTTCTCCAACATACAAAGTTGGCGAGTGGTCCAATATTTGGATTCGGTAGCGGATTATTTTAAAGCATACAAAAGCTTGAGCCATATGGAATGAGAATGGGGCAACATAAAACCCACTACCCTACCACTTATTCTAGATTATTAAATCCACGATTCAACTTCTTACTCAATCAATCTGCATTTATCGGCATCACTGTAAAAAAAATAAACAAAGAGATGAACATATTCAATCGAAAATATATTATATATTTGAAGATATATTCTCTCATTTATGTATACAATATTTTTTTGGGTACACCCATTTATTATGAATTTGATTAAATTTTTAAATGATATATAAAGGTTAAAATTATAAAAGTGTAATTTTTAATTACTATTTTCCATTTGTAATTTTTGTAAACTGTACCATGTGATTTATTAATAATATTTATTTTTTGATTTGTAATTTCTTTTTCATTTATAATATATTTTTATAATGAAAAATACGATGCTCGAGTAGTGATTAATGGACAAGTTTTGAGAGACTGAAACATTGATGACATATGAAATGAACATGATAATAGCAAGTTATGTTTGCATGAAAGTTACATTGAAGAAAGACAATGAGGCGAAAATCATGGCGATCTTAGTCGTCCCCCACAAGAGAAAGTGACACTGCAGGCTTCACCAACACTAACAGTGTACCGATGGAGCGGCCACGAGAGGAAGAGAGGCAAGTGAGTTAGCATATCGCACACACAAACTGTCTCCACCATCTTAAGCCATCGACAACAGTAGCCTTGTTCGGGAGTGATCTCCTTTGCCTTATCCCTATGCCTGTGCTTGTGCTTGTGCCTGTCTCCTTCCTGCCCCGTCCCATTTCCGCCTCCTCGACGACTACTCCTAGTCCTGTTTCTACGTCCATTTCCTTCGTCCAGTGTGTCGGACGATAGAAACGGCGATGGGACTAACGGGATCGTTCCGCACGCGAAGTTCACTAGGGTTAGTTGGGAAGCGCAGAGCGGACGGAGGTGGGGTGGTGGTAGTTCTAGCCTCGGTGGCATTTTCGGCTGCGGAATAGACAAGGCAACAAAGAACATCGAGGCGAGAAATAGTATCGGAATCCCGGCCTTTTTCATTATGCACCGGTGAAACATGGGGGTTTTGGGGTTCTCTCCATTGTTGCTACTTTGATTTATAATCTGTTGATTTCATGGAGTTGGTGCTTTGTTTAATTTGAGGCAACTAAGAAGATTAAACAAGAGGGATGACAAAGTGAATGAGGGATGGTTTGTTGATGTTAATTAGAGAAGTTAGGTTCTCAAGAGTTTGATTATTAATGGCATTGCATTCATAGAGTGTGAAGACTTTGTTAGGTGCCAAATTGTTGAGACTTCTAAATATGGGTCCTCATAAATGGAATGTTTCATGCAATTGCATGAGATGGTATTCCCAAAACAAACACAAATTTGGTTATTCAAATCAGATATCTAAATAGCCCCTTAAACTTTGATTGATATCTAAATAGGTCCTCGATCTTTAACGTGTAAGAGTAGGCTATTTTCCTTAATATAAATTCAAAAATATAATTAAATCCTTAAAAACATTTTGTACTCAATTGATTAAATCTCACATGAATGGTTTCGTTGTTGATCATTAAATCAGTAACAAACTAATAAGATAAATTGAGGTTGTTGTCAGTTAGACCCATAGCAGCATTTTGGGCCGATAATGGGCTTTCCAAACAGAAACTGGCTGCAGCAAAAGATAATTTTCATAAAGTAGGAATGGAGACTCGGATTTTATAAAGAAACCGAAGCTCTTGAGTCTCAACTCAACTCAACTCTAATTTGGCAGCTGTCCACTTCTCTGCTCTCTTTTCAAAAATCTCGAAGTCTAACGATGCTGTCCCTTTCTCATTAACTCGTGTACGCGCCGCATCGCATCGCACCGCACCCCAACAACTCCAAACAAACAAAAAAGCAAGACCCCTTACCGAGGATGATGTTTGGAAACGCCATAGCCGTAGCTCGGACATTCATGGCGTCGCCGTCGTCGCCCAAGGACATCGTCTTCGAACCCGATGACATCCCTTTAGGCTCCTTTGAGTGGTTCTTCTTTGCGGGAATTTCCTGCTTGCTCGTGCTTTTTGCCGGCATAATGTCCGGTCTTACCTTGGGCTTGATGTCTCTGAGTCTCGTTGACCTTGAAATTCTACAGAGAAGCGGAACTATCACCGAGGAGAAACAAGCTGGTAAGCTTCTATTCTCAATTTTCCATTTTTCTGTTTTATTAGGCACGGTAACATTTCCGAGTTATTCAATTCGCTGACTTTACTGTTTCAAGTTATAGAATTTTTTTATATCATAGACCTGGGTGAAAACCCTGAATTTTTGTTGCCTTGTTTTATGCTAATTATTATAATTTATTTATATCGTTACATGTCTGCAGCTGTTATCTTACCAGTTGTTAAAAAGCAGCATCAGCTTCTGGTAACTTTGCTTCTGTGTAATGCTTGTGCCATGGAGGTGAACATTTATATGTTGTTATTAAAATTATTGATGGTTTTAATGACCCCATATATATATATAATGTTGGGTAGCTAATAGCATTTCCTTTGCTTATCCTTATGCTCTTGGTTTTATGTTCTTGCAGGCTCTTCCTATAACCCTTGATAAAATGTTTCACCCCTTGGTTGCAGTCTTCCTGTCTGTTACTTTTGTTCTGGTTTTTGGAGAGGTGTTACATATTGTGTTTCTTAATGCTTCATTCTCAGCTATTTAAGTCTTTTGAAGGGATTTATTTACTTTATGTAAGCCTTTTTTTTGGATCAGATAATTCCACAAGCAGTATGTTCAAGATACGGACTCGCTATTGGTGCAAACTTTGTGTGGCTCGTGCGTATTTTGATGATCATTTGCTATCCCATTGCTTACCCTATTGCAAAGGTAGTATCCCGTCGTAATTCCTTGGCTAAAAATTGTGATTCTACTAGCATTACTTGGATAACGAAGTAGCTTCCTTTTTGAGTTTATACTACGTCAATCGCCTGGCAAGCATTCGTGTTTGGTTAGTAAAAGGAATATTTGTCAATAAGGTTCTAAGTGTTAGTAGGTCTTTTAGAGGATTTGCATTGAGCAAAGTAACAAGTTCTGATGAATTGATTAATGTGCAAAGTGCCTTGGCACCTTCAGTATTTGATGCGCAAGTCTTGATACTTTTTGACTCCATTCAGACAAATTATATTCTGGATACCCCTAGGTATATGATATTCTTTGAGAGTTGTGGTTTTTGGATGTTGAATTCTGTTAGAGGGTTTATACCGTAAACTTCTGAAATAGCATTCCCTTTTCTACTCATTCTCCTACATTCTTGGGCAATATGGCTTTAGGTTTTGGATGCTGTGATCGGTCATGGTGACGCATTGTTTAGACGTGCTCAATTAAAAGCTCTTGTCTCCATCCACAGCCAAGAGGTAACTGCTTAAACTAGACGAGATGATATTGCTGAAGTAAGTTGTCTTCGTTTCATTTGAACTTTCATTGACTTGTCACTTGTATCCTTAATAGGCTGGCAAAGGTGGTGAACTAACACATGATGAGGCAACCATCATTAGTGGTGCACTGGATTTAACTGAAAAGGTAAATGTTGTTATTGGAATTGAATTCCATTAGTAAAAGTGACCTGTCTCATTACATATTTGTCTATGGTTGATCCTTCCAGTATTCAGATGTTTCATATTGTGGAAGTTGAATATTTTTATTTGATAACACACCATGAACAGGTATATTGAAATCTGGATCTTATTTATGCAAAAGCAGCTTGATAAAACATACAAACACTAAATCTGTTATAATCTAAAGAAATAAACTGAAGAAGAGAGAGAATAAAAGAGTTAATGAAAGAGAAATATGATTATTGAATTTAGGAGATTTTTAGTAGTTTAAATAAACTGAGTTGTTGACTTCTAATAGGACTTTTTTGCTAAAGATAAAATTCAATCTAGAGCTAGAGATTACAAAGATTCCTAAGACTTGTCCTTTTTTATCATAAAAAACTCCTAAACAAACAAGACTTCTACATGGTTGATTCAAACAAAACTAATTATTTCTAGTTGTCAAAAGTAGCAGATCTTTTAATTGGACAATGAACACCTACCTCTAATGGAAACTTCCCTGGTCCAAAATGCTTAGGTTGTAATCTGCAAGTTTCTATTCCTTTTTGAAGTCTATTAGTTTCATTTTTAATTTCCCACTTTTATATAACTCAGAAGTTGATATGAGTCCATCGCCAGAGTCTTTTGTAAAATGGGTGCAATCATGATGCTTCTTTTACATGCAGACTGCAGAGGAAGCTATGACACCTATTGAATCAACATTTTCCTTGGATGTTAATTCGAAATTGGATTGGTTAGTTTCATCTGGATGGTGTTATTTCTGTTATCACATCATTTGTTTCTTAATCTAGCCATTGAAACAAGTTAGAGGTGACGCACACTCCTATTGCTTTGTTATTCTGGGGAAAGAGAGAGTAAAAAACTGACAACCTTACTATCTGTGTATTTGAGGAAAGGATTGAATTTAATTTGTATCTTATACTGGTAAGATGCAAACTATGCATCTCTCAAGTTTAAGAAGAGTTTATGTGGAAAATGAAATTTCGTACGGATCTTGTGATAGGTGGACAGATTTTCTAGTTGATTCTGCAATTTGGAATATTACAGTTCTAGGCTTAGATTAAGAACCCTATCCTGACGTGGAGCATACTTCCTTTTACTTTTTTAATGCCTTTCCTGCTGCTTCTTTTAGCACGACACTATTGGAACATGATTGACTTTAAAGATCATCTCCTCTAAGTTGTAAAATCCTAATGATTAAAGTGCTTCATTCAATATTAGTATCGAAGTTGGGTCATAAATCTGATTTATCTGCCTTTGATGCAGGGAATCAGTTGGAAAAATTCTTGCACGTGGTCATAGTCGTATCCCTGTCTATGCTGGGAATCCAAAAAATATCATCGGCTTGTTACTGGTGTGTTAGTTACCCATTGGCTCTCCATTGGTTTTCTTTGTTTTGAAAGTTAATGTCGTGCTGTTCAACATTGAATTAAATTTTCCTTGTAAAGATTCTTACAAATTTTCCTTTGCTTTGAGATTTAGGTGAAAAGTCTTCTCACAGTACGTCCGGAGACTGAGACACCAGTTAGTGCTGTTTCCATTCGCAGAATTCCTAGGTATATACATGTAATCCCATTGTTTTTTATTTCTCTGTACGTGAAGAAAGTATGACTTCTCATGCACTAACATCTCAGGGTTCCAGCACATATGCCTTTGTATGAAATCCTCAATGAATTTCAAAAGGGAAGCAGTCATTTGGCAGCTGTAGTGAAGGTTAAAGGAAAGACCGAAGACCCTCAATTCTTTGACAAAGGAGAGAAATTTGATGAGCATAGAATTATCAATGGGAATTCTCAACTAACAACCCCTTTGCTGACCAAATATTACAGTAAAGCACATACTGTTATTGATGTTGAGAAACTTAGGCCTATCATGGTCAAGACAACTCATCTACCTAATGGTGTCACAACCGATACCTTGCAACAGTTTTCAGAGGATACCGAAGATGGGGAAGTCATTGGTATTATTACCCTAGAAGATGTTTTCGAAGAACTTCTCCAAGTATGTTCTGTTTCTGTCGGTTTCATCTCCTGTCACTTATTCTTCTAGCTAAATTAAATTCTGTTTTCACCCATCTTAATCTTCTAACTTTATTTTTACTAAGGTCGGTGGTTTGCTACTAATTTTCTGAAAATGTGTTTTATCATGGGATTTTGATATTGTTTCTGTTTAAATGCATTATGCAAATTGGATAGGTGGTACTTACTGAATCCTTTCTACATTGTAGGAGGAAATTGTTGATGAGACTGATGTATATATTGATGTACATAAAAGGTACACTGTTGTTTGGATTTCATATCTTTTTCTTTTTTGCTTTCACTCTTTCGGTTTGGCTAATTACTCCATCGAACATGAAATAATCTTTTTCCCTTTTTTAAAGGATTCGAGTGGCTGCCGCTGCAGCTGCTTCTTCTGTTGCACGTGCCCCATCCAGTCGTAGATTGATTGCTCAAAAGCCTTTAGTAAGTAAACGACATTTACTTCTTAATGTCATGTTTCTCTTGCTTGCATCATTAGACCATTAGCGAGCTAACAAACAAAAATCAGTATAATTTGGTGATACTCCTAGTTGACCTAGGAGATAAATTAAATCGTGTCCATGATTATATATGGTGTAGAAAGAAAATTTTTGGGCATCCTCCATCTATGCTATCTCCCAAACCTTCCTATTTGGAAGTGCATGTGTACAACTAGGTCACAGTGACTGGAAATTGATTGACATGATACGTTGTCCCGTCAGAGACATTGCGAGATATAAGTTTTCTATACTTTCAAAGACCTACACAATGTTTCACTAATATCATGCCCCACTCTCTTTTTACAGCTATGAACTGATGTCTCATGAAAAACTTCCATTAATCATCAATTTACCTTCTCATATCCTTCAGGGTATTCTGGGCAAGCAGGGACAAATGACAAAGAAATCTATGGATGATTCACAAACAGGAAGATCTTAGGCAAAGCCCAACCATCTTAGCCATGCCATAACCAAATACGTGCATCTTACTCTCCTTGTGTATTTTAAATTCTCGTATTAGGTTGGGTATATTGCAGCTTTGTGCATCTAGTTCAAAGTTAGAAAATTAGGCATGTCTACTGTAAAAGAAAAAACATTGCAAATTTTGTTTATGGTAGTTGATACCTGGACTAGCAAACCCACTATCTTAGGCATGAATCTTAAATATCGTAGGCAAGACAAACACAGAGAGACAGGTTTTGTTTAGAGTTTGTTGTTCAGAGTCAGATTGATCTTTCTTTTTCATGTTTACAGCATCTTGGCTTGGATGTAAAAAATGCAACTTCGCTTTACGTATCTTCTACTTTTCTAGCTTAATGATATTAATGTTTGAAATAGCAGATGGATTACTTTATGAGTTCCTTTGAGTGAATATGAGAGATGCTTATTCAAACATTTTCCCTGATCATGTATGAACCTTGAAAGGATAATCTTCGTGGACTATAAAAGGAGATGGAACTGAATTGGAGTCATTTGGAAGGTTCTATTACAGATCTCGACCTGATCCAAAACCAGAAAGTTACATCATTCTGACACAAGCAACACTGTACATCATATAATGTAAAGCCTGCCCTTTGTTCCTAATATGCTTTGAACTCCTTTGCCATGAACGATCCCTCATGATCCCCATTGAGAACGAGCTTTCTCCCATTGACACATTTGCCATGAACACAGAAACCAAATTAGTAAGAGTGAAAGAACCTGAACCCGAAGTTTATTTTCGAGTTTTGTTTTGCTCGAAAGGATGTGGAAGATTTTGAAGCCATTTTATAGGAAGAGCAATAGCAAAAGATTAACGTTAGTGATGATTTAGAAAAGGGAAATAATTAGATAATTAAAATAAAATCAAAGTAATAGTTGAGTTATCAAATACTAGCCTAAGTTTTTGATCTGCTCTTGTATCTCCCACCCATCCTATCTTTTTTAGGGGAAAAAATATTCAACTGAAGTCCAAACTCAACTTCCAATTCTTGTCTAAGCCAAATCCCTTTCTTTTGGGTAACACTAAGCCATATGATTTCTTTATATTGCATTTTTTAATATTTTATTAATAAATATTGTTTATTAATCAATTAATCGATGATATAAAAAAATATAAGATAAGGAAAGGGTGTAGGTTAAGAGTGATGGGAGAGGCTATAGGAAAGCGTACGGAAATCCGCGCGAATACTCACAATCACAACATTATAGCTATCAAACAAACATTGCAATTTATTCATTCCTTAAAGACCATAACTTGGGAGTGGACTGTATGAGTTGGAAATTTATTGGAATTTGTAATTTAATTTATATGTGAATAACATATTAAATTTCTTTTATTTTTTTAATACCCACTTGAAGGATGAAAATGAAAACTTGTTCAATAATCAATTTATAATTATACATAATGTTATACAAAACAATAATTCGGGACGAAATTGAACTTGAGAAAATAAAATATATTAGAAGAATAAATACTCTTTTGTTGATTTATCGATCGGGAAACGAGTTAAGGCATGTCGCTAGACAATTTTCTTAAGACATATTTTCAATCATTCCTTAGTGCTCAAGATCTTTTTGTCATTTGTCTCTCAGGATACAATAACTAAATGATCAACGAACAATAGCACAAACTGTCGAGATCACAGATTATTTCTTTTCTTTATCTATCACCGTAAAACTAAAAAAGGAGAGAAAATATTTTTCAAGATTTTAGAAATTTTTAAAATCTGAAATGTGAAAACTTGTAACAATATATTTGTATTTTAATTGAATATAAATTCATAAATAATATATATTTATTTAATCAAATATACATTTATAAATAATATATTCATATTTCAATCGAATATAATTTGTAATAATATATTCACATTAAATATAAATCCTTAAATAATAAAATATTATTCTATTATTATTTGAATTCTAAAAAGTTCATACAATATCTTTTTAATTTAAAATATTTAAATAAATATCACGTTTAAAGAAAATATAACAATCAAATTCATCAATAAAATTAACACATTTTTAATAATTTTATAACAAAATAATTGTTTTCTACTAATTTTTTATAATTCAATAAATATATTAAAACTTACGGAACTCAGAATTAATTGGAGGAGAAAGATGGAACAGTTAATGAAAAATCAGAATATATTATAAAATTTTAATTATAAGATTTTCTTTTTGATATTTTAATTAGGGTAAATTACATGTTCAGTACTTAAAGTATTACCTTTTTTTTGTTTTGATATTTAAATTTTATTTTTTAAAATTATACCTAACGTTTAGTTTAAGTTTTAATTTAGTATATTATCGTTAAAAAATTAACAGAATTGTTGTCGTGGTATTATTTTTTATTTTTTCAATGATGACATGAAATTAACTTATGATGACACGCCATCATCACCGTTGAGTTTTTAACTATAGGTACCGAGTTAAAACCTAAAATAAATGTTAAGTATTATTTTAAAAAAATAAAGTTTAAGTATTAAAATAGAAAAAAAGTAATAGTTTAGGTACTAAACATGTAGTTTAGCCTTAATTTTACACCTTTCAACTTGGACGGCGGGCAACATAGTCAATATTATGTTAAACGCATACCTTTGCCGGCCACCGCCATTACATACCACTTCCCTCCCCCTATATATTCAACCAACACGCTGCTTTAAAATTAAAACCCTTGCACAACCCAAGGAAATCCAACAATGGCGATCTTGCCGATTCCATACTCCATCAAATCGCACCCAAAAATCAACCTTTTTTCCAACCCACGTTCGGTTTCCAACATCCATCAAACCCACACCGTTCCAATCATCTCATCGACGCTGAAAACATCGTACGAATCGAAAACTTTCGATCGATACGTCAACAACGACAGATTACCATCATCTTCTTCAAGTTGGGGGGGACAACTTTCGAAATATGTGGGGATGAAAACCAAGCGAAACGACGAGACAATGGAGAGGGAAGTTGAAGTGGTTAGCAGGCTGAGGGGGAGTGGTGGAGAAGTTAATGGAGGTGGAAATTCAGAAGATTAATGCAAGGCTAAAGGGAACGTCCGATGAAGATAAATTGTTGGTGGAACATATGAGTAGAGAGATCGTTGACAAGATTTTGAAGCGGCCTGTTGAGTATTTAAAAGCTAGTCATATTGTAGATTCTGAGACCAAGCTGAACGACTTGAATTTGCTGATTCGTTTGATTGAAAAACCGTGCACCGGCTGTCCAACGTGATTGATTAACAGACAAACCCTATACACTGCTAGCAGTAGCAACACAGCTTTTCAATTTTCATTTTCTTTTCTTCTTTCCAGTTCTGTTTTTCATCAACAATGATTTGGTTGGCTAATTCTTTTCTATTGAAAAATAAATAATTTTAAAAATTATTGGATCCATGCTTCTATGACTGAGTTATTAGTTAACAGTTTATATAATATTTGTTTATGCATGTATTGGTAACATAAAATTACACAAGTTTGGTTAAATAGCATAAAACTGACCTAAATTTTGAATTTTTTTCTAAGCACATGCAGGGAAGGGTAAACCTTGACTCAAAAAATCGATTTTGTCGAATCGATTCTATAATTTTGAGTTTAATTTCAAGTTCAAATCGAGTTATAAAATACAACTTAAATTTTGAGTAATCAGTGGATTGATTTTCAACTTTGAATTAAGTCTATCGACTATGTATGATATAAGTATGTTACTCCCTCTGTCCCATTAAATGTCTACTATTGATTTTTTTTCTTCAATTTTTTAACTTTGACTTATTATCATTTAACATTTATTTTTTATATAAATATAAAAATATATTTTTATAATCTTTAATCAAGTAGTTTTTAAATATATATTTTATAAAATTTAATTGTTGAAAATATTTAGAATAATCATAATCAAAGTTTAAAAATTTTAACTTTAAAAAAGTCAACAATTTGAATGAGATGTAGAGAGTATATATGAAAATATATATGTATTGTATATGATAATAAACATGTTCCAATTGGTAAGAAGTCTTGAAACGAGAGAGGCGCACATTAGTGGGTGGAAGTAAGGTTTGTAAGGGAAGCGAGCACGTTAGAAAGAACAGCTTTGCCTCCATTTTCGCTTTCAACAGAAATCAGAGTGAAAACAGAGCACTCTGGAAGTATACCATTCCTCGAGAGGAGTCAAAACATTTTAAGTTATTCGTATCAACTCAAATTTTATTTGAATTTATTTTAACTCGAGTTTATGAAATTCAGGTCAAGTCAATTCAAATTATTCCAATTTTATTTATTTTTAATTATAAATATTTATAATATTATAATACTATTTAATTTTAATTTAAACGGGTTCCTATAATTATATACTATTATATATTTTTTTATATGTAATATATATACATATATAATGTAGAATTGAAGTACTCTAATTAAACTTGAAAACCAACCCAATAATTATTAAAAATTCAAGTTATTCAAATTTTATTTTATAACTCAACTCAAATTTTGAATTTTTTTTAAAGTTAATCAAATTTATAAAATTACGTGGAATTTATAAAATTACACGTTGAATCAAATTGATTCAGAAAAGTCAACTTTTCAAGTGAGTGTTGCTCATCCATATATTTCCACTGATTATTTACAAATTTGGTAAGCTGATGCATTTCTTTTTAGATTTGCACAGTTCATACCCCAGTATATCTTGGGCTATTTTTAGTATGGAATTTTATTATCTTTCAACTTTTTAATGAAAAATAAAAATTTCACTCCTTCAAGTTAAAATAAAAATCAGTGTTAAAATGATGATAAATGCCTGTTAAATATTCTGATGATATAATTTGCTGGGTTGTATTAATGAAGATAAATTTATGACACTAGTAATCACCAACTGTTGAGACTTCATGCTTAGAGTTGGGGTTCAACAATCCCACATCTTCACAACATCATAACCAGCTACCAGCACTAAAGACGTTTCATCCGAGAGGAATAATATCGTCTTTTTCGAATCAAATTTTTCGATACACAAACCAATAGCAGTATGTCTACATTAATGCAAAAAGGGATCAAACTTCATTAACTTGTCAGGATAAGCTTTGTCAGCCTCCGCGAGCTTCTCTTCTTGTGGCATCATGAAGTAATTCAATGTCGACACCGTCCGGAGGTAGCTGAACATATCTCACAACCGAGCCTCTGATGAAACAGTTCCTTACTGAAAGCTGTAATCAGAAAAATGCTTCTTAATTGAGCTGGGAAAGAATTTTAACGATAAAAACAAAGACGGGTTTTGCCGAGACTTAGATAACCAATGTACGAGAAAACTAAACCAAGACATGTTTTATGTGCTGGGGCAACAGAATATTACAACATTGTGATATACTTTCAGGATAAGTTCAACAACCGGTAATGAAATTGCAAGGCTTCGCACTAAGGATGGACTTGAGTTTGAATGAAAACTGAGACCTATTTGAAGAGAGTGAAGGAACCAACTACATACAAAGAAAAGAAATATTATTGAGCAGTAATAAAGTGATTCAAAGCTATAGCAGTCTCCAAATCAAAGTGTTAACAGATCACCGAAAGCATGAAAGTAGTTTCGTTTCTCATAAACCATAAAAGGTGACCGAATATGATACACACTAGAACTGGGATTTCCATGCACAAGTATATCATACAATTAACTCATTAGCCAAGCTCCATTCAAAGCAGGCAATCAATACTCAACATGGAATTTCAAAACAAATGTATTTCGAAAAGAGAAGTAGAAAAAAAGGGGCAAAAGCAAAGTTGCTACATAACCATTGGTGCAAAATAGGAATTATATTTTGAAATCTATTGAAGACGTGGGTTGAAAGAGAAAGCTTGTGAGTTTTGATCATGTTTTATTAAGTTAAAGTTTGACAATTATGCTAGGTTTACAGTTCGGTGCTCCTTTAACCATTAACCACTATACGATCAATGTAGTTAGCTATCCAGTTCATCATAAATCTCAAAGGAAAATTGAACCCAACTAAGTTCTAATTTAAGAGAGGATCATGTCCGACCAAGGTTTCACATTTCTCTTTACCCTTTTCGGGTTTATTTCAACCATCTTTGAAAGGCTACAGCGAACAAGCTCCTGAGTGAAGCCTTGATCAAATGCCCTATCAGGTTGACAAGGGACTCCTATTTTAAGACACCCTACCTTAGCTAGCTAATCTAAGAACAAAAAATTCAACTTGAGAGTTTTGGATTAATGTTTTTGTTTTCATTTTATTGATAAATCAGATCATCTAAATGTTGAATTTCAAACATTCCCTTCTCAAAAACTACTTGAAGTTTTCATGCACACATAAACCCCAGAAGTTAACTTTCATTGACATAGCAGGGGGCGGAGAATACTATTTATGCAATGCAGAATAGAAAAGGAAAGATTGCTGATAACAGAAGAGAATTTGACCACAGAAAATGAAAGCAAAATTCAGATAAAAAAGCATATTCAACTATAGCCAAACTAATATGAGAAGCTTCCAGCATTTCCGGCATCGTAAAATCGAAAGCTTTGTTGGGTTCATCACTTATATACTATTGGAGGAGTAAAACAAGGGGTAGTAGTAACACCTCACGATGCAGCAACATTGGTAAGCACGCAGTTTTATATACATTCAGTATAAAATCAGCTACAGAAGAAAATCTAAATAAACAATCAGCAAGGAAACGCAGCACAGAGCTCAGGCCATGTTCATTCATGAAAAAGAAAAAAATTGCAGATTGGAATGATGGAAAGATAGGAACTTTATACGGAAGAAAAAAACATATGTTTTTGAGACAACCAAAGTAATTCATTGATAAACAACAATTAAAAAGGTGGGGAGATACCATGTGAGGATACTTGTCTTGATCGATAACCCTAGTGTTCTCGAGCTTGATATTGAGGTATTGATCAACGGAGTGAAGGGTTCCTCTGATTGCCAAATCGTTCTTCAGCTCCACAGTCACTTCTCTTCCCACCAAATCTTTGAAATACGAAAAGAACAACTGCGCCAATCAAAATAGAAAAAAGACACCCATTGGAGAATGAAGAGGGGAACATTGGTTTCGAAACTCAATTGAATGAAAACAAAAGAAAAGAAATAAGAAGATTACCATGATTTCGATTCCTCTGCCTGGAAAGAGTTCTGGGTTTTGCTTAAAGATGCGAAGAAAATGAAAATTTGATAGAGCGGTCACTGTATGATGAGGTTCATTGGTTTGCCGGTAATGGCTACTTACTAAAGCTTTGGTATTTGGGCCTTTAAGCACGGCATTAGCTATCCATAAGGCATGGACTCTATGGCCTTATCAATACATTTACTGGGTCCAAAATAATACTTCGAGAAATATACAATCGATCGGTTCAGTTGTTATAAATTAAATAAATCAATCAATCTAAACATAAACTAAATCACTCTAAATTCAATCTGAAATAATCGGAAAAAATATAGAATAAATGAATAGACAAAGAAAATCATAATATTTTACATTTTTATATAATCAATTCGAGTCGAGTGGAGTCGAGTTTAAGCCATAAATATAATCAAGCTTCAAATTTAGCCAGTTTCCTTTAATTAAACAAGTAAAGTTCTGGACTTGGCTTAAAATTTAGCTGTTTTTCTTTCTTTGAGGTAATCTAATCTCCCCTTCTCTGTTTTGTTGACCAGTGATTACTTTAAGGCGGAGACAAAAAAAAATCCTGCAAAGGAGCCAACTTTTAAGGCTGAAACTCTGTACTCCTTGCACGAAAAGTTTGATCAAAACAATGAATATTTACTATATATAATAATATGAAAAACTTACCTGTGAGCAACCATATGTAATAATAAAAACATCAAGGAAGAGACAACCATGAAAGTAGATTCCATGTCTTTTTTACTGTTTTGTTTTGTTTCAGAGTTCAACGGAGAGAAAAAAATATATGTCCAATGTCTTTTTCAATCGGTTCCTTTTACCTTCAATCTTGGACCCTCCATTTAATTTTTTTCACCTTTCATTCAACTACAAGAAATCTACTTACTACCAACTTTTTTATCTTCACGTGTCCTGCCAATATAAGGCAATCCAAACCATTGTTTCTTCAAGCTCCCATTTCCATGGCTTCTCTGTACATTATTCATTCTCTTCTAAAACTAGCTTTCCTTTGTTCCTTTTGGCATATTATTACCCCATTGAGTTTGACTTACCCTGCTGTTTTTAACTTCGGGGACTCGAATTCAGACACCGGTGGATTAGTCGCCGGAAAAGGCTTTCCCTTGTCACGACTTAATGGCCAAACTTACTTCCATGAATTCTCTGGCAGATTCTGTGATGGTCGCTTAATCATTGATTTTCTAAGTAATTGTTAATTTGTTATCTTCCCATACTTTGTATTACATTTATTTGATCTGCATTTTTAGATGAATCCAGTAGTAATAACATGTTTTCAGTTTCGATTTCGATTTTCTTGCAGTGGAAGCAATGGAGCTTCCATACATGAATCCATATTTGGAATCTGTTGGTTCTCCCAGTTTCCAAACAGGGTGCAATTTTGCTACCGGAGGGGCCACTGTTCAACCTGCAAATGCAGATTCAATGAACCCTTTTTCCTTCAATCTCCAGTTATTTCAATTCTTCAGATTCAAGAAACGAGTTCTTGCATTACTTTCCAAAGGTACTTCCTTTTTGAACAAGCTTTTTTTGTTACAGAAATGGCAATGAGATGGTGGTTGTTTTTTTATTCAGACAAGGAACTTGAGAAATATCTCCCTGCCGAAGATCACTTCAAGAAGGCCCTTTACATGTTCGATATTGGCCAGAACGATATCGATGGTGCAATGTATTTTCTGACATCGGAGAAACAAGTTATCGATTCCGTTTATAAGCTTATGTTGGATCTCAACTACGGAATGAAGGTTCCATCAAGCTCTTATACTGCTTCTACCACAGATGAATTAACTATTGCTGGCTTCCTGCTATTTTATGCTTCTTTTTTCCCCTTTACAGAAACTATATGACGCAGGCGCAAGGAATTTCTGGGTTCACAACACAGGCCCTCTCGGATGCTTGCCCAGAATCATCGCTACATTCGGAAAAGACCCGTCCAACATCGACGAACACGGCTGCATTGTCTCGCACAACAAAGCTGCCACCATTTTCAACCAGAAACTCAGAGATATCTGCCTACAGTTCTTGGCACAATCGCCCGAAGCCAACATCACATACGTCGACATATACTCGATAAAGCTAAACCTTATTTCAAACTCTTCCCTATACGGTAAGCAAGCCTAATACTTAAAAATCATTCCTCTTCATGTTCATCGTCTCGTTTATTCGAATCGAATCGGATTTCACTTTCAGGATTCCAGAAACCAATAGCAGCATGCTGTGGCTATGGCGGACCGCCATTGAATTTTGACAACCGGGTACCCTGCGGTGTGACTAAGGATCTGAACGGGACCATTGTGACGGCAAATCCATGTAACAATACAGCTGAGTACATAAACTGGGATGGTACTCATTACACTGAAGCGGCGAATAGATTTGTGGCAGATCAAATACTAACAGGAAACTACACTGATTCACCTCATCTGGGGACGACCCCATTTGTTAATTGACCAAATATGAATGCTATTGTTGTTGTATTTACTTTGTGCTTTCTATTGGTTTATCAGAGTTTTTATACGACAATGGCAGGACATAGATGAAAGCAGTGTTTAATAAAAGACAATTTGTTATAAAACCAAAAGGTTGAGTTGATGGTTTGATTGAATAGAGTAGGTTGAGTTATGGTTCTGGTCCCTCTACTATGCTTAGATAGGAGATTTAGTCCTTTTAGTTAAAAACGTGTTAATTATCCCGGTTAAAATATATGCTAACATGACCCCCTTTTTTAAGCCGGAATGAGCATTTTTAAGGGAAACCCAAATTTGCATTTTAAACTGAAGACGTTATTAAAGTAGAGGACTAAATTAGGCCAAATTAAAATACAAGGATTAATTCTAACTATAATAGAGGGATCGAAACTATAAATTAACCAATAGTGTATAATGAAAGTCAATCGTAAGTGTAGTTTGGCTGATTAAATTTCTTTTAATGCGATTCCTACAGTAGCCATAATCGTTAAAGGTTCATTATGAAACAATTGTTTTAATCCAGATTTCTTGGTTCACACGCTACGATCTGAATTTATAATTTTACGAGCGTCTTTATTTTGTTAGTGTTAGGATATAAGCCTGTCTTTGATCCCAAATTGGTGCTACTAAGTTAAGGTTTTCTATGATGAAAACTTCCCTTCATCAGCCGGAAAGGTACCAATGGAAGATTAATGCAAACAAAAAGGAGATTAAATGCGGGCTCAACCACCTTAAACGCCATTCAATATAGGTAAGCCCCGTTCACCTTGTGGGAAGACAAATCGTTCTCAGAGTTGCTAGCAATCCAAAGTCTATAAATTTGGAAATTCAAATGATTGGTAGAACAAATGCAATAATTAGATCGGATGTCCATTTTGCAGAGAACAAGTTGGCATCACACCAACACTAACACCTATCAAAACAAGACTAATTAAACCATGCATGGTACTGTGTCTTTAAGGTTCCACTTGAATCCACGGTCATTAAATAAAAACCAAAAATCACTATCATGCCATCTTTTTGGTTTTTAGGTTTAACCACATAATTTTAATCTTGCAAGAAGGTTAAAATCAATAATGTTCTCTTTTATTTCATTAATTTAATCTTTTAATTTTATAAATTATATCAATACTATCTTTTAATAGATGATTACAAAATAACTTCTTTAATCTATTAATAACTCACGTATACTCTATAAACATAAATGTCCGGACACAAAATCACTTAAAAATAAATAAACAACATACAAAGTCACTAGCCACCCTCCAATGTCATGTTGCAATACTATTTTTAAGTTTTAACCGTGTGTAAAAAATTTTAAAAATGGCATACATCATTGGTTGACATGGCACTTTTTTCCCTCATGTAATATAAATTAGGGTAAACTACACTCAAGATCACTTAATTATTATTTTGGTAAAAACATGTCACTTTTTTTCTAAAAGTTATAAATATGAAGCTCGATTAAAATACTATTACAAACAGGTCACTTCTTTGTTAAATAGTAGAAGAATTAGTGATATGACCTAATATAATAACAGTTTTAGTCCTTAAATTTTATATAGTTTATCAATTTGGTACTAATCTGAAATAATTCAATAAATTTAACCCTTTATATTTAAAAATTCCATCATTTCAGTCTCTGTTCTTTTCCCACAAATGTTATACTACTTTATTGTTACTTTCCTGATATAATTACAGTTTAACAATAACTTGTTGATCTTCTATGACAAAATGTAATTACCCAACTACTTTGATTCGAAGACTCGCTTTGTTTGATGATATTGCACAAAAGACTAAATTGATATAATTTTAAATATGACGGGGTTGAATTTATTAAATTATTTAAAATTAAGACTAAATTAATAGATCGTATACATTTTGGGGACACTAAAAATGTTATTATACCATGTCACATTAGGTATATGTTTTAATTTTAAAAATAGAACGATTTATTTGTAATAATATTTTTATTGAATAATTTGTTTATAAAAAAATGTTACTTGTTTGATACTAAACCTATAATTAAATGACAATTGTATAATTTACCTTAAAAATTAAAATAAATGGAGTGGGGAAAGGGAGAATTAATAAGGCTTTAATCTTCGTTCCCCACCAAACAGTAATTAATTTTGCTTCTCAAACTCTTTAATTGGAATGCATGTCAAAGGTAGGAACGCCATCGGTTTTGGTTTGATCCTAATTAAATAGCTTACTTTTTTGCTATTATAACAAACCTTGATCTACACTAAATTTTCTAGACATTAAAATGTAACCTATGAGAATATAATTATTGCATTAATAACTACACACAATTCTAATTTTTTGGATATATTTAACTGGTTTTAATTATATTTTAATTTTTTATGTCATGTTTATTAATATAAGTTACCGTAAAAAATCATATAGATTTAATATCAATTATTATAAAAATTATTAATAATACTTAAATATTCTCTAACCTGAACTCATCAAGCAATTTCTGTGATGAAAGTGAGTATTATTTTTTTTTTAGAGATTTTGAGTTTGATTAGTTGCATCTACAAGATGTGTGTGCATTATCAATGACTAAAAAAAATTATGAATAGATATTACATTATCTTTTTGGTATAACCAACGGTATCTGATCTATTGATCGATTAATTCGGATAGGATACTGTAGAGGCAAGGGCAACCCCCTCCCAACTCAGTTTGCTCCATTCATAATTGTCAGGATTCAAAACCCTAGCATTATAATCGCCCTATACTATTAAAAAACTTATAATCTCTAATGTTATAAAATTATACTATATTTAAAAATGTTATTTTTATTATGAAAATAATATAGCAAGTTGTATTTTTTCCTCCAATTTAAGGCTTCGCCTTGATTAATTCAGACCGACTCGCGTCTACACCTAGTTTTGATGTGCGAGACTCTCAAAAGAGATTTTCCGTATACATAAGGACTCAAACTCAAGATATTACTTAAGTGATATCAAACTACTTACCACTTGAACAAACATCTATTAGTATAATATATCAAGTTGTATAAATAAAAGTCGGTCTTATAAAAAGTTTTTTTTTACATTAAAAAATTATTAGGGTCCGTTTGGTTCTAGAAAATATTTTCTATTTTTATTTTCTGATTTTGTTTATAGAAAATAGTTTTCATTTTCATTTTTTTTAAAAATTTGAAAACATGTTTGGTTAATATAAATGAAAACTTGAGTTCAAAACTAAAATACTAAAAATGTATTTGGTAATTAAATTAGATAATAATTATTAAAAATCATTACATAAATTTAACATATGAGTTATAAAAATATAAAACAATATAATTGATAAGAATATAATGTTAATGCATATTAGACATTAATTAAATTTTAAAAATACATAAAAAAAAATATAAAAGTGTCATTAACATAAAAAAATATGTTTAGTAGTAACTGAGACCCTCAAACTTTTGGAAAAAAAATAATTAGTGTAGTTCCTAAACTTTTTTTCACCACAACTGATCGATAAACTTAAAAAATATATTGATGTGATAATTTACAATATTAATCTAACAGTTCACGATACTATTGTGATAGTACTCGATGGACAATGATGTGGTAGATGAACTTAATTGATTATTTTAAAAAGTTTGAGAACGTATTAATTTTATAAAAAAATAAAAAAAATTAAATTTAAAAATTAAAATATAAATGATTATTAAGATATTCAATAAATTAAATATAAAAATATTATAAAATTAAATTATTAAAAAATAATTCAAGGATTACATTGGAATCTTATTGACTTTTTTTACAAAGTTTGAGGGTTTCAAATACCATTAAATTAAAAAATTATTGTTGGAATAATTTAAACATGTATAAATTAAGTTAAAAATCTAGATATAATATTTCCTTACCTTTTGAATTTCCAAAACAACTTTAATGAAAAAACTGAAAACATTTTTTCATATTTTTACTTATTTTTGTTTTCATTTTTCAAAAATCATTTTCTAATTTTATAATCAAGCAAGTTTTCTTCTATATCTTTTATTTTTTTTTATATGAAAATAACTATTCTAACATGTAATAATAATAGTAATAATAATAAGAAGAAGAAGAATGTATATAAAGTATCATGCCTGTAATATAGTATTTTAAAACACCAGTAATGCAAAGGAGTTTTTATTGTTGGGAAGAAATATCAATGGAATCTCGTAAAGCATTTTGTTGATCGATTTTCTAAAGTGGTTCACTTAAATAAATTTCAAGCAACAAAACGTGATTATATTATATTAATATACTTAAAATGAGTTGATCTTTTACGTTGAAGACATGAGAGATCAAGGAGATGTCCATGTTCATCGCAAGTAACTTCGTATATTCACTTCTCAAAGTTGAAAACTTTTACCAGTAAAATGGCTGTTTTTATCTTCTCTTTGATGGCTTTTTTCATGATTTTCAAAACCCAGATTTGCTGATACTGAATCTGATACCCCATTCAATTTTCTCATCACAATTTTGGTTTCTTTTACTCGGTTGTTTTCATCATGAAAACAGCTAATGAGAAATAATTTGCATGCTTTTTAAGCTGCACTTTTGGTTAGATTCTGGTTTATGGAGATGGGAAAAGTTGAAGGGAATTTGATCCTGAATTCCTTCATCCGTCACATCAATTTGAAAAATATGGCAGAGGTAATCAATCAATCCATTATTTTAGCCGCTTTGTTTTACACATGGTAGACGAGGATGATTCAAATCAGGGCTAATTGAATCCAACGTCTCGAATTATTGTTTATAATTTAAATTGATTTTTAAGTTTTAAAATATTTTAGTTGAGTACTTAAAAATATTATTATTGTACCAAACATATTATATTGTCAGCTTAATTATTAATTTCAACATTAAGTTTCAATTCATATATGAAATCAATTATGTTTAAAATAAAAACTAATAAGGCTTAATCCTCTAATCAATATCCAAAAAGCACGAGATATAAGCCTACCGTATAAGTAATTTTGATTATATACCTTCCACTCGGCATTGTCGGGTCACTAAAGCCGTCTTTCATCCTTGCTCGATGGGTGGGTCTTACAATGAAGCTCTCTTTTGCCTT